TGTGTGTGTGTGTGTGTGAAAGTGTGTGGAAGAAAACACCATCTGAAGTTTTGAATGTTCAGCTGCGGCACCCTTCAACACCCCATAATACTATTAGACTGTCGAGGAGTGTTGGGTTCATGATGTGGACCAACAAGGAGCGAAACAGTTCAGCCATTCAAACATACCTACACCTGACTGGACCTTCAGCTCAACTCTAAACATTATGATGATGATGATGAATTCACAGTATCAAGGGTCAAAGGTTATTGCTGTCATATGTTCTTGTGAATATTAAATAGATTAAACTGGTTGTGTGGAGTTGTGCATTAAAAACAAAGTACATTTTGTCCCACAGCAGCTGTATGAGATGAAACCCCTTGAAAAACAACTTTCAGCTCTGACTTTAGAGGTCTGTATAATAAATCTACTACTGTGACTATGCTGCTGACACAACACAGGAGCTCAGGTGACACTGGAAGCTGAGGACAGCGACTAGGGTTTGTTAATCTGTGCCATCTAGTGGTGAAACACTACACTGCAACATCGTATAATTATAGTCTGCAGAGTTAGTAAATAAAACTTCTCTCCTCATGTATCCATGACAATACTGTTGCTTTTATTGGTCCAGAATTGGAGACTTGTCATTCAAAGCAAACACGTTTTTCCATCAGTGAAAATACTTTTTTTTTTAGAAAACACAAACAACAAAATGTATTTACAGTATACAAAAACACATATATTCGTAATGGGACTTCAAAAGTATCATGTGATGGCCATTCAATATGAACAGTCTCTTGTGGTTTTCTAAAGCATCATGAAAATAAAACAAAGCTGTACCCACAACTGATCAAAGTTTAAAACAAGTGCCTGGAGAAAAATAGATTGTGTGAAGAGGTGAGGTCGCTCTGCGGACCGAGAGCACACACGAAGTCTGTGGCCTCCCGCTTTATTTTTCAGACCTTATATTGCTTTATCCAATATCTCAGTTTATGAGGTTACCATAGAAACATCAGCAGCAACAGTAGAACAGGAGGGAGTCAGGGCAGGTGTAAGTGTGGAGACAGTGGTAGAAGTTCCTGTTGAAACCAGTGTGGTAATGGAGGGTTCGACGGGGCGTGCGGGAACCGGCTTGGCGATCTTCAAGGGAATGAAGACGTTGGAGGCACAGTGCTCGCTCAGATACTCGCCTCCTTTCTCCTCGTAGTCCTGTCTGCTGATCCATCCCTCTGCAGCTCCTGCTCCGGGTGGATGCTCCAAGGCCCAGTCTCTTGCCCCATACCAGGCACCCAGGGCCGGCTGCGACGCCATGGTCACCTAGGAAGGAGTCGGCCAGTTGAGTTAAAATTGATTTGAAAAACAGATTGACTCTAGATTACCTAAACTATACCATTCTGGGAAGCATCTGGCCACTGTAAACACGGAGAGTGTCTGGATTTCAATTTGTCTTACTTCACATCACTTTCATACATGAAAATGTCCAGAGATTTATTATCACATCTGAAGAACAAAGCAGGAAATCGATCAGTTCAGATGCTTTAACAACAACAGGAAAATGTTCAGAGGTTGTGTGTGTGTGTGTGTGTGTGTGTGTGTGTGTGTGTGTGCACACTTTGTACTATGAATTTTTGAGGTTGCAAGTAGAGGAAGTTTTGTTGCCACCATTTCAATTATATACAATCAGACATGACAGGTTTTCAAAAACCATTTGTCAAGTTGTCATTGGATCAGGTCTGTATAACGATACATGCAGTTTTAAAGAGTTTAAAGTCTGCACCTTGAAGTGTGACTGGAAGGGTCTCATTGCCAGAAGTTCTCGCTCCACTCGCTCCTTCATCCCTGGGTATTGCATGTTTCCACCTGTCAGAAACACATTGCTCACCAGCGCCTCCTGTTGCTCTGGAGTATACCTGTATGTAGCGTAGATAAAGTAAGGAAAACATCAATACCTTTGAGTTGTAACATTTAAAGTGTTGTTTTTCCAAAAGAAAAATGTGAAAAATTGTGTTAAAAGAGAGAATTATCATGACCCTTGTGTGTGTTTGCATGTCTTTATTTGTGTATGCTATGTGCATACGCTGTATAATGCGTATGTGATCTTATTTTTTGTGTGCACACTTGCTGAAATGTATTATCACCTGGCCAGGACGTACTGCAGCGTCTCCATCAGTCCCATTTGGTCCTCTCCGGTCAGCGAAGGCTGGAACAATATCTCTGGGCACCGCAGCCGCTCTGTCCCAACAAACAGCTGATGGTACTCCGCCACGCTGAACATGGGCTGGAGATGAGATTCAAGATATTCATCACCAGTGTAAATGTTTGAGAAGTAGTGACACCAATGTTTCAGCTCAGGAGCTCATTACTGTTCTGGCACAAAAACATTACAAAAGGACAAAGTGTTTCTCACACATCCTGCCACACATTAACCTGGCAGGTAACTACTTGCACAGGATTAATGAGGATCTAAATGTCAGTCTGGGAAGTTCCAGTCCCTCTGTGCCACTACCTGAACCACATTAGCAGGTTTTTCTGGCAGCGTGTCCTCAGGAAAGTCAGGATCCATCAGTGCCACTCCGTCTCCCTCGTCCATCGGATGGTCCAGCTCAGACACCTGACAGAGAGCGACAGAACAGCCTCAGGCACTTTGTCAGCTGTGACACATCCGCTGTAGCAAACGAGGACAGACCCTCCAGACTCATATTCACGGTAATGACGTGTAGAGCTAATTAATAATTGGGTCATTTCAGTTTAAGTTAAATAACTTCTGACTTTTAATAAAATATTGATTTAGAAATGTTTCTTTGATGAACTATTCTAGCCCAAAACACTACCAGTCACATTCACTCATTCTCACTCACAATCATTCAGTGCTCTTCCATTATGCATCATTCTTGAAATGCCCCTTAGAGATGCATTTTAATTCTACTTGTTATGAACATTTGTGGATGATTTTGTGTTCTTCTCACTTCTTGAAAAAAGAAAAAGAAAGTAACAAGGACAATCCTCTGATAAGGAGCTATAGACTTTTCCCTATCGCTTCCAGGTTTATTTCAGGGCCCAGTTTAATATGCTACCAGCACTGAGACTGCATATCAATAAGATCTAATTGATCCCGAACAGCTCAAACAACTCTCTGAAACGCCTTTAGCAAATGCTAAAAATTAAGCAGATCAAAGCTGTTCCAAAAACGTTAAGGACCTTAAAGTCATTGACTAAACGTGATTGAAACAATGTGGTCCTATTTATTTTTAAACATGCGACCATTTTGGATTTGGTGTACAAAGACCTTATGTCCTCTTCCTCTCATTTGGTGGAGTAACACCCACCTCGATTTTTCCCTCTGCTCCGTCACTATGCAGCAGTTTCTGTCTGCTCTGCTCCACGGCCAGCTGCAGTTTGTTGATGTACGACTGCAGCTCCTCAGCTGAGTCCATGTTGAGCTCCACCAGGCTCTTGTGAAAATGATCCAACAGGCCGTCGTCCAGCAGCTCCTGGACACATAAAACTCTGTGATCGCTGTGCAGAACACATCCGTAATCTGGACTATCATATGTATAAAACAACAATAAACCATAACACCATGATACAACAGGTTCCTTGCCTGCACTGCCATAAGTCTGTCCAGCTTCTCTTGGTCCTGCTGCAGCTTCTCTTCCCGGCGGCGAGCATTGATCTCCTGAAGCCGTCGAAGCTGTTGAGCTCGTCTCTCCTGCCTCTCCTCCACGCTCACACATCCACCCGGCACCTTACCTGAGAAGGGGAGTTGCATACGGTGCACCTCCTGCTCATAAAACGCCGGACTGCGCCACTTTTCCAGCTCTAAACAGATTGTTAATGGAACTTAAGATTAATTTGGGAGGCCACAATTCAGACACTTATTTGTAAATTGCTGCCGTAGCTTGGAGCTGTACCTTCATGATAATCCACAGCCGTGTAACTGTGCTCATGCAGCAGTTCTTCCATGCGGCTGAGTGTGATGGCGGCGAGGTGACCTGGGTATTTCAGATGGAGGAGGCGCTGCAGGTACGACGCCGCCTGGCTCCCAGCCACATTCACGCGCTTACAATTCACCGCATCCAACCTCGAATCAAAACCATGTCAAAGTTAGACTGTACACAGCAAACAGTGGGTGTGAATTGGTTGCACTCAATGAAGTCTGAAACAAATCACTGAAGACATAATAAGGAAAGTGCAGGAGTGAATAATCTCTCTACTAATTCCAGAAATCACTGTCTGTTTGTGGAACGCACATCATCATTCATCTCATCAGCTTCACTCTTGGCATGTGTATCGTTAAAGGTCCAGAGTGTGGTCAACTTTTCAATACATGGGCAGTTTGTCTGCGTCTGTGAATCCTCACCTGCCATTGATGACCGGCAGGATGTGAGAGCAGTGGTATCCCGAGGACAGAACGATGCCAGTGTGTGCTGGATGGACTTCTCTGTGGGCGTTACTGTGGTACAAACTGTACAAGCCGTCCACGCCATAGGAGACGTGCGGGACGCGGTAGCACTCGAACAGCAGCTCTGACATCATCTGCCGACAGTGCAGCGGGTTACAGGGGGCCTCTGTGAGCACAACGGGATGTTCCACACTGCCCTGCAAAATCATGGCAAAGAAAAGCTGTGAGATCACCTGGTCATGCGATCATCGACCGGTCACCACTGACATTACACGTAAAACTGAAAACTGGCAAAATTTTAATGTGTAAATTTACATTGAAAACTTTTGTTAAAAAATTTTGTAAGTCCTATGGCAAGTATGACAGATATAAAGGTAGTAACAAGTATTGTTTGGAGTTTTATAACAGAATGTTAATATCTAATATTGTAGAGTAAGAACTATAAGTGTGATGAGATTAGGGCTAAGACCCACTTCTCCATACTTCAGAGGTTTTCACTGCTGAAGACTTTTTAAAACCAGGTGGAAACCCTGTCACTTCCGGGAGAGAAGTCAAATGGATGTGTTTGAGATTAAACACCTTGTAACACATAAACTTCTCATTTGTAAATATTTGGAACTTCCAAACACATATGTTGACCTCAAGTTGAATTCAGGTGCTTTTACTACTAAATTAGATACAGTCTACTTGTCCAACTTAAACAATTAGACAAGTACATTTTCAAAGTTTATGTCAGGGCAAGAAAGAAGTTTAAAGTGTTGAATTAGGTGTCACATTTGGCTCTGGGTCATTGTGGAGGGCATTTCCTTTACTTTTTTACTGTTTATTTGTATATGAATGTTTGGTCCCAATGTTTCATTTGTTTGTGTCAGTTAAATAACTCACTAATCGAAGACCAGTGCTGCTGATAATATGTTGGTATAAAAATAAATAATACTAATGGTATGGCTTTACAACCATAATAAACATGTTCTACTCTTGCTGAAACTTTCAGGAATGCCATTATAAAAAAGCTTCATTGAAATAAATAATAATAAAAATAAATAATGTATAAAAGTTAGACTGTGTTCACGTTCCCCTGTGTATTGTGTACTGCACATGTGTGCAGGGGAGACACCATGTTCGATCCCCCAGCAGTCACCTCAGAGCTGATGCCCAGATGTGTGAACACATGGTCGAAGATGAGCTCCTGGATCTCGAAGTTGACGACCACGTTGCGGTCGAACTGGCTCTTCAGCAGCCACCGCAGAGGCTCCAGGTTCGAGATGTCGTTGCCGATCTGGGTCTCGCTGCGGGCGGCTCCTCTGCTGCGCGCCGCCACGGACCTGAAGAGCAGCCGCGGGGAGTCCAGCTCCCCCGCCGCTGTCGCCCAGCCCGCCCGGGTCTGGAAGGAGCCGTTATCTATCACTATCGAGGCCGGTGTGGGGCTCGGGGCGGGGAGCTCAAAGATCGGGTCCGGAGACGCTTTGCAGTCCTGGAAGGAGAAGATCTGACAGACCGGCCGCTCCGTGGAAGCCATTTTGAAAATGTGTTACTGCAAAATACCTCCGAGTGGAAGCTTGGTGTCGCTGACCTATAGTTCTGCCTTAACTTCAGAAGACATTTAATCTTTGCAAAGCAACAAACTACTTGTTGTATATTTTAACAACAAGATAAGTAGAATTCATATATATATATATAAAAGACTGTGGTTTTTACTGTTTGCAGACAAAATGCCCCATATCTCAAAGATTTATATTTTAATTTTCAGCAAAACTTTAACACATGTCTGTCTGCACAAGTGTTGTGTATGAATACCATGTGGATGTGCTCTGAGGCAAGGCGAGCTGTTTTTATTTATAAAGCACATTTCATACACTGAGGTAGATTCAAGGTGCTGTACAGGGACGTTAAAAATAGACAAAATGAAATCCATTGAAAGAAGGTTTAAAAAGAGATTCACAAAAAGCAGAATATAAGAGGTAAAAGGGATGAACCGGATAGAATGTGGATGAGAAAATGAATTAAAGGAGTAAAACAATACAAACGATGTTAAACAATACAAGAAAATTATTTTGATGAAATTATGAAATCATTTGGTTAAAAGAAACATACATACTTTTGACCACCAGGGGTCGTACTGCGACTTCATTGATTGTAATATGAACGCGAGATGAGACACATCGATTTATAAGTCAAACACTCTGATTAGGCCTATTTATCATTAAGTCACAGTGTACATGAGCATTATGAAAACATTTCTCCCTCATGTTAAAAATAATTTACTGAAAAGAAAATGACAATGTACACAAGGCATTTCAATGCACCACTAAAGTCTGACTCATTGTTTCAAGCTGTGCAGCCTCAGTTTGTTCAAATCCACAGACCTCCATTTTAAATTCTAGTCCCACTGATGGAATGATGCAGTCATAAAAAGCCCTGTGTTTACTGCAGATCTATTTTCTGTCTGAATGCAAACTAACTGTTATCATCACCTCAAATTGGGCACAACTGGGATTATTTGCTGGACATGCATAGAGTTGATTTTGAATGAAACCATGTGAAGAGACATTTTCCCTCAGGCCTGAGATTCCTGATTCCTTTCTGTCTGCCATCCTGTTACTCTCAGCTGACCGGGTGAAGCCTCAGCTGGTGATGTGGGACACCTGCACATGGGAGATGCTGCACGGCCCACTTCAGACCACTCAGTCAATGAACGTGCTGCAGATCCCACACTCTGATTGTTATCACCCTGCACTGAATAATCTTAACCTTGATGGAATTTCTGCTCACATGGCTTTATACTTTTCTGTGCAACACTTTGTCATGTTCCATAAATGACTGGCTATCTAAATTAGCAACACAGAACTTTTACCTTTCATTCATAATTAAATTCAGCAATCTGTTAATGAGCCGAAAATTAATGAGAGGGATTAATATGATGTGAAACATAATCTATGTTGGACTAAAATGGAAGCATCAGATTGGAGCATAATCTTTTTTTCATTCTTCAATATTGTTCTTCACAGCGGTGTTCATTATGCTCT